CTGTTTCACAGAAGGGCTTGAACACAATCTGGAGCTTAAAACAGTTTACTGCCGGCTCACAGAAGGACTTTAACACAATCTGGAGCTTGAAACTATTTACCCCTGTTTCACAGAAGGGCTTGAACACAATCTGGAGCTTAAAACAGTTTACTGCCGGCTCACAGAAGGACTTTAACACAATCTGGAGCTTGAAACTATTTACCCCTGTTTCACAGAAGGGCTTGAACACAATCTGGAGCTTAAAACAGTTTACTGCTGGCTCACAGAAGGGTTTTGAGATAGGTGTTCTACCAACTGATCAAGCCAGGGCTCAGATTTCAAGCCTACTGTTCTAACTGTTAAAATATTCCATTGAAAAGCAAGTGCTATTTATCAAAAAGGTTGGAATGAATAAAAATAAATAAATATCTTTCTTTGTTATATTATCAAATAATGTCTGTGAATATCGTTATAACTTTATGTTGTGGAAGTGACTTTGCTGATGGTAAAATTCAGTTTTGTTCTGGTTGATTTCACGTTTCAGGTTGCCACTGGTATTGCTGCTTTCTTTTGTGTTAGTCTAGGTGGCCTGTTGATTGGAATATTGATGGGTATTATCACAGCATTGGTTACAAGACTTACTCAGAAGGTTCGAGGTAAGCTTTTGGTTCTGTATACTGAAGATAATGCTTAACTATTAAAGATATGTTTGTAGTGAGCTTCAGGTAATATACTGGTAGAATCAGAAATAAAACTATTTTTAGATTAAGCTGTTACAGATAGGCTTGGAAAGATTGTGGTAAAAATTGATAAACATTACATCAGTTATTCAACAATAGACAAAACATATCTTAAAAATACATTTTCCAATTTAATGTAATTTGTTTCTTAAATTTGCATAATGGTGAATTACTAACTCCTGAGTACACAAGGAAAAAGTATAATGTTTTATCGTTGTAAAATATTATATCATTTGATAGTTCTTTTGGAGTAATTGGTAAAAAATATTGCCAAGTCCAGTCCATGGGACGATAACAAATTAATTAATTTTTTTCAATAATGTTTCCTACAGGTTCCAGTCACTCTTACATAAGTAGTAGGCCTGAGTTCACAAATAACTTTTCTATAGAAACTGCAATACTAATGCATACCTAATTTTCTTATTTACTTTTCAACAGAAATTTCTCTCTCATCAATAAATAACAAACATGCTAACTCACTGATAACTGAATAGTTGTGTTAACTCTTATTACTATCCCTGAACTGAATCACTCATTGACTCACTGATTCTTGTATTTATATCACACCCATATTTCTACATACTGCACAAAATTCCTTGGTTCTACAAATATTACATCATACACCCCCTCCAGTGAACAAACATCAAAATTAAAATATTAAAAATATAGTTTACAACATTATATCAAATGGTGACTGTAATAAGAATACTTTGATTAATTGAAAGAAATTATATGTTGAACTACTATTCATTATTTTGTGGCCTTTTTCTTTTTGTAATTGTTGTGAAAACAATAACTACAACTAGTAGCTTTATGTTTTCCAAAAAATATTTTCCAAACTGGAAAAAATGCTTTAAAAAACTGCTTTGTACCCTCTGTCAGGACACATCAGATATAGTGTAGTTCAAGCTGAAGTTATTATTAATAATATTAATATTAACCTCATATCTCATTTCAAATTAAAGTAATAATATTATGTTAGAAAAGTTAAGCCATGTTTTGCCACTCTGTTTTTTCACTCAAAATATTTGTTAAATCTGTTTATTTAACTCTTTTAAAAAATCACATTACAGCTACTAGTTTGAGCAGAATGATTTAAATGTTTAATTTAAATGTTTTTTATCATAGCTGATACTTTCATTTCTTCATTTGGAATTAATGTATGTTTGTAGAATTTATTATAACATAAATTAGTTTGCGATGTGTAAAGAATTTCAGGTAGTTCGTGATTAAAAAAGTTTGACACAGTTATCAATATTGGTTTGAATTACAGAAAGAAAATTTCTGACCTCATATTAATGTAAAGTGTACAGCAGGATTTGATGTAAAAGAATATTCTATTTTTATAATGCGTATGTAGAATATTGAAAATTAGTTTTTTTTACAAACAATAAAAATGTCTACATCGATTTACTTCTGTAGTGGTCGAGCCTTTAGCGTTACTGGGAATAGCTTATTTATCCTACTTACTGGCTGAAATGGTCCATTTCTCTGGAATAATTAGGTAGGCCTACTAAACATTTAATAACATAAAGCTAGGTATTAGAGAAAGCATCAGTGAGTTAGTAATGGTTTTGGAAGAACATTTAAATTAATGGTAATTTTGCAAATTTTTATCTAATAAATATACAATTATAAGAGAATTACTCATACTTATGGAATGCCTACAACCATCATTGTTTTATACGACCAAAATAAAAATTAATCTTTTTTTTTTTAGTTTAAAAAATGCATAACATGTTATTTCTGTATTATAAAGTTTAGGTAAAAGCATAAGGATAAATTAATTGGTGGTTTTATATTTATTTCAGTATTATAGCATGTGGTCTCGTTCAAGCCCAGTATGCTCGTTTTAACATTTCTCAGAAGTCGTATATCACTGTTAAATACTTTATTAAGATGTTGAGGTAAGTTAATTTAGAATATAAAATTCTAACTTTAATGTTTTTTTTATTTATAATGGTTAATTACTATGTCTTGAAAAACTATGCTGACATAATTTTTATTGGTGTTTCGTAAAACTGCTTAAAAATGCATTGGAAAACAAAATTGGTATTAAAATACACTAATTCATGATGTTAACTTTGTTCACTTAGTGATTACAGATAAAAAGAACTAAATCTGGAATGCATCATAAATGTTTGCATATTATTATGTTGTTCGCCTGGAGCCACTAAAATGACTGAACCAATTTTTAAAAATTCTAACACCTCTGATTCTGCAGCACCTGGTGGTGCTTACCTGTATAATAAAACTGCAAGGAGCTATCTCAAGGAATTCTTCATAATATCATTGTAATGAGTTCTATATTTTGGCAGGTGAAAATATGGCCGATTCCAGGCCATGTAATGATAACAAATTAGTTTTTCTTCCTTACTTTTTACTGCAGGCTACTATCACTTGTATGTGGGCCTAAGTACACAAATAACGTTTGTATTCTTCTAACAGGAATTTACTCACTAATGGTACTAAGACTAAAGTTCCTTGTACAATTTCGTGGCTAATTGATTAAGTAACTAAATATATGTGATAACTAACACTGAAATAGATACTTAACTAACCTCTATGTCACTAAATGACCTGAAAACTAACTCAATGCTTTGCTGATTCTCATGCTTATAAGTGTATCCTTGTTTCTAGATATTTCAACAAAGTCTGTCGATCATTAATTTTCACGAACATTCTAGGTATTTTAGGGCTAAATTAAAACATTGAAAATATAGCATACAACAGTATCTTAGTTGGTAATTTTTTTCCCAGGCTCATGCCAGTTATGATATTCCTTAAGGCAGGGGGTTTTCCAAACTGGGGACCCCCTGCAAAGCATCAGGAGGGCAGTAGCAAATACACAAACTGTTAAAATATCAGTGTTTATAGATTCCTTGGTGGGGTGCCTCAGTGAGGATGCAGAATGTTTTGGGGACATTAAGGCATCATGAAAATTCAGTAGGATATGAAGTGGGGGCATTGGTCCCCCCTACTTTTCAATTTGTCAAAGTAAAAATGCATCAAAATTAGGAAATTTACTCTCAGGAAAAGCAGGTGAATGCATAAAATTTAATCCAGAACCCAAGAGCTTCCAGAGCCCTAAGGTGAGCCTTGGACCCTAGCTGTAATGGGTGCACCTGTTGTACATTGTACATATTCCCTCACTTTGCTGCTACCCCCCCCATTTTTAATTTGCCCCCTACACCTCTGAAATTGTCACTTGCCATGTCACACATTCTCTTATTGAACCAGTTAGATGTCATTCACCTCTTCCTTAAAGAATCTTAAATTAATAAATTTATATCATTAATATGCATATCTTCTGCCCCTAAGTGTTCAATATATCACATTTTATATTGTAAAAATATAAGAAATTACATTAGAGAGTAAATTTTTCTTTGAATATACAGTTTAAAATAATGGATACCTTCCTGGGAAGATATGGGAAAAAAACTCTGAAAACATTTAACCCCACATCTCAACATTGTTAGACAGTTTTGATTGGTATTCCACTAATGAGCACTCAACATTCACGTACTGGTGACTCACCCTGGAATAATTTCTTCTGATGCACCTCTTTTATTACTATAAACCAATCTTTTAAGTTTTTATTTTAACAAGTGTCAGAGGTATGCCACTGGCTCAAAGGTCTGACTAAGGATATGTGACGTGAAAAGTTTGAAACCACTGGTTTAAAGATTGCATGATTGGAACATAACTGTTTGTGTAACATTCTAATGTTTATTTGTTTTCTCAGGACTGTGAGAAAGAAATTTCAAATTATACAAATTGATACAGTTTCTCTTACAACATACAAAGTGCTTTTGTAAATTACTATAGTTCTTAAATTCTTCTTAACTTATCCTCCCAAATAAGCATGTGATATTGTAATTATCTTTTTTTTTCCTTTCTTCTAGCGCCATCTGTGATACATTAATCTTCCTCTTTCTTGGAATGGTTTTGGTGAATGATAATCACATCTGGCACACTGGCTTTGTCCTTTGGACTGTTGCTCTGTGTTTGATTGCAAGATTCTGCAGTAGGTTTTCCACAAATTACTGCTTTGTTCTGTGCTTTAGTTTGAAATGTAATGTTGTACAGTGAAGATTGTTGTTAGGCCTTATTCACTAATTTTAATAAATCATATTTTTTAAATAAATCACAAATTGACCATGAAATTGACGATGTGGTCAGTGCATCATACCTTTCAATATTTTTTAAATTTTTAGTGCACCAAATTACTTGTGAGTTCATGAATGTATTTTTATGAGGTCTCAAATATACATATGTGTTGCACTAAAATGTTAATCAACGATAACATCAGCACCAGTGGTGTAAGTATACCATTGCAATCGTGGGGAAGCTGAAAGGGCCTTGACAAACTTAAGAATTTCTGACAAGGGGGAATAAATTTAGGGGCTTTAGTTACTTTTTATGTGAGAGGCCCATCTTATGCAGTTATTTGTTTGTTTGTAATAAAGCAAAAAGCTACACAATGGGCTATCTATGCTCTGCCCACCACAGGTATCGAAACACGGATTCTAGTGTTGTAAGTCCGCAGACATACCGCTGTGCCACTGGGTGGCTTTGTAGTTATACCACTGATCAATACTGTAGCTTATCTCACTAATTACTTGTGTGGTCACCCCTGTATAGAAAATAACTGATTTAATTCGTGTTTTTTTTTGGTCATTTTGTTACACTGTGAGTTGTAACAAGCAAAGATATAAAGTTACTCAATATGATGCAATATATGAACCCCTGGTGGTATTGAATTTATAAAATTATTATTATGCTAGTAAGTTGAAAGTTAAAGTGAGATACCATCAGTCAATAAACCCTAAAATTCTAAATCTATGGGCCAATACATACCTGAACTAGGTGATCATATCCAAAATTGTTTGCTGCTGTTATTGTAAGGACAGTTTACCAACTTTCACTTATAACCTCCTTTGACCTGTTTGATTAGCAGAAAAGTCTGAACCTTTGATACTGTCTGATTGGCTTGCTGTTCTTTTGTGGTCTTTGAATGAAATTTTAGTTATTTAGAAATTCGTTTTCTTAGTACTCTGCTATATAAATAATAACTTGCATGACAAGCCTGTAAACAGCAAAAATGTTTTTATGGTAGTGCTTTCAATTTTGATAATCGGCTCAGTGCATTAGCAGTTGGTCTGTGTGAGAGGTTTACCAGAAGAAAAAAAAAGGATTTTATTGTATGTAAAACAACCATATAAGATGACAACTAACATGGATGGTGTTTGAGAATGTAAGCAACCAGTCATCACTTCTCAGTATAATCCATAATAAATAAGACACATTTTTTCCATCATTCTGCAAATTGTGTCACACAAGCAGGGGAAATTGTGGGTTGGTGTTAAATGTCCAGTTGCTCACAGCTGCTTTAATAAATTCAGCTGTTTGGTGGAAACACAAAAGGGTGAAAGCCACAGAAACTGTCCATCCAGGTTTCTCAGGTTGCAGATGATGTTTGATAAGCAGTATGAGATGTGATCTTATCACGATGTGGAAGAACATCTATTTATTAAACTATTAAAGTATGTCAAGTGCAAATTACTGACATTCAGCTTATGGGAAAGAAAACCTCACTTACAGTACTGAGTACACTGATCAGTACGCTTTTACACTCAAGAGTAAAAGTACAAAATGGCCACACAGAACAAAGTAAGATGTTTCTCTTCTTTTTCCACAATCAGATGTGATTTTTTTTAAGTTTTGGTGTAGATTTTGTTTATACACACACACTAGTACCATACTGATGTTTGATGGCACTCTGTGCAACATGTAAATTTAGTGAAGTAGTTCGCTTTATATGTCAGTTGGGCAGTTGGCATCCTCCTATTAGTTGTCACCATGTGTGAATGTATTACCCACAGTACTGCCCTGATACACACTTGTCAGCAGCCCAGTTTGGTCGATGATAGAGAATACGATCTCAATGAGTTTTGTATGACTTTAAGTGTGGGGGAACATCTAACTGTAGATTTTGTTACATGCTTTGAGCTCTATCATTATGAAAGAAGGTTAGAGGTTATCTGTGTTATGTTTGTGTTGCAGCAGTATGGTTTGAAATATTAAACACCACTAAGTTGGCTGTGAAACTTCACAAGAAACAAAAACTGTGCCAAAAAAAAAAAGTCTGCACACATGTTTTGAGCAACAATTTACATGTTTTACTAATTTTCAAGTACATCCATGTAACCAATCCTGAGAGCCTCAAAAAACCTTTGACCCTCTAGTTGAAGGTGCCAAGTAGGAAAATTGTCAAATCTAAATGTAGATATTTGTCCATGTTGAATAACCACATACCATGAGTACTTCATTGTCGTGCTATATTAGCTCTCCAATCAAAGTTTTATCCCATATCTAAAGATGTGTAAAACTTGTTTGTATTTTTATCATTCATCTAACCAAGCTGATGAGAGCTGATATAACTCAAAATGTTAGGCCTCAGCTGATCATGGTTTGGAATGTCTTATTCGCTATGGGCAAATAGGTTTAATATTCGCAAGTCTTATAGTCTCCCTCCTCATGCTGTTTAAACTCAAGATGATTCTTTTGAAACCAGAGGTTGGAAACTTAAATGTTTTCTGGTGTCTGAAAGAGAAAGCAACACGATCAATTGAAAACTACAGACATAAAAAAACTCAGTTGAGATACAAGAAGTTTCAAAACAAGAGCCACTCCTTTCTGCAGTGACTGTTACGGCTCAATCATTTGGCTCTTGGTTTGAAACTATGTGTATTTTAACTTCGTCGTCTGATCAATAAGTCTATAGTTTTCAATTAATTCTGGTGTTTACCTGAAATGTGATAAATTGTATCTTTTGGTGATCCATCTGTAGTCTTAATCATGCTCATTTTAAGCCTGATGGAGAATGAGAAGCATGTATAAATAGAGCCTCACTTCTTACAATAAATAAGCCTTTTTAGAACACTATTGTATAATAAGATACTTATAGTAATCTAGTTTGGATTTAATCATGCATGGCCTGTTGATTAGAGAGAGGGAAACTCGCAACCTACATGTCGCAAGATCAAAACACATTGCTGAACATACTTGCCTCTTCAGCCATGTGGGTGGTATTGTGTGATGGTCAGTCACACTATGTTTTGATAAAAAGTATTCCAGGTGTTGGTGTTAACTAGCTGCCTTCAGTCGTAGAATCTTTGCTATTTTTTATTTACATCAATGACATAGATCGAGGAATGGACAATAAATAACTTATATTTGCTGAATATATTTAGGTCTTGGGTGTTGCTAGCTGTGAGGAACATGCTGCTGCTTTACAAATGGATCTAGATTACTTGATTAGTTGGGTAAATATATGATAGATGGCTTTTAGTTATAATAAATGCAAGTGGATTATAATTGGAAATATACATATAATTTTGTTGGGGAAGAAAAGGGTCTTGGTATTCTTGTTAATCAATCTCTTAAGTCATCCAAGCAATGTGTTGTTGCTAGTGGTAAGGCAAATAGGATTTTAGTAGCTACAGAAATATTAAATACAAATTTAAAGAGTTTGTAATTTCATTGTATAGATCACTATTAGGCCACATTTAGAGTACTGTGTTCAGCCTTGGGCTTCTTACCTTAGGAAGGACATTGAATTGTTGGAAACAGTTGAGAGGAGGGCTACTAGGATGATACTTTGGATGGAAAGGTTGTCATACAAGGACAGGTTAAGAACTCTACAATTGTTTTCTCTTGAAATAAAGAAGGGTTAAAGGGGGGATATCTAACAGGGTGTTTGGCCTTTAGAATTGGTTTCCTTCAGATGTAGTGGACGTAGTAAACTTAAGGGAGTTTAAGGGAAAGGCTGATAAATATTTAAATAATAAGGGTTAGCTTTGAGTTGATTTTTTTTACCTTATTTTTATATCCTTCCTGTTTATATTATTGTTACACACATACCTATACAATGCAGTGCCGGATTTAGGCATAAGCTAAACAAGCTACAGCTTAGGGCCTCACAATCCGCAGGGGCCTCACAAAATTTCAGATTGATAAATATGTAAACAATAATTTGTATTTTTCACTTTAAATACCTTGCTATTAAATAATTAAAAGGTATATATATATGTTTTTATTTTTTTTGTGGCGACCCAAGGTCCTGTTTTGGTACGCACCTTTGTGAGACCTTCTCGTGTAACTTTTTAACAAGGGGCCTCCAAGCTTTATATAGCTTAGGGCCTCACCAAGTCTAAATCCAGCACTGATGCAATGAACAGTATTGTTTAAATAAAATGGTGGATGTGAAGTAAAGATAGTCATGACAGTTCTGGTGATGTTCATTATTACAACTGATTTACCTTTATGTCTTAATATATCATTTTAATTGTCATTAACCATTAGCAAAGGTATTACTCAGTGAATGTTACAGAGTATATTCTAACTTAAAATACAGTACAATTATGTTGTTATTTAATGTTTTTAAATCATACAGATAACACATTGTTTCTTTGTAAATATTTATCTATAAATCCAGGACTGCTTGTTTCGTCTGCATTGGGTACTATATAAGCCTTTAGTTTTTATCGTAAAATTATGTGTTTTTTTTTACTATATTTTTAAAGTTTATTGTTCTTTTAATCTATACTTACAGGTGTTTATGTACTAACTTTCTTAGCCAATTACTTTGAAAGACTGCACAACATCAATATTGAAGAGCAGTTTGTTATGGTAAAGTGGCTTATTTAAATATTCCATGTGGAAATAAAACATTTATTGCATGAGAGGTTGGTAAATCCTATGATTTGGCAAGTTCTTCTTTTGGGCACTTACTATTCTACAAGTCTAGAAATTGTGACATTTATTTCGTAAAGCCATATTTATTTTTTGAGCACTGTTTGAACCACAAGTCTAAAAATTATGGTACATATTTGATAAAGCCATGTTTGTGTTTTGGGCACTGTCTGTACCACAAGTCTAGAAATTATGGCATGTATTTGATAAAGTCGTGTTTGTGTTTTGGGCACCATCTGTACCACAAGTCTAGAAATTATGATACATATTTGATAAAGCCATGTTTATGTTTTGGGCACTTAGTTTAACTACAAGTATAGAAATTATGGCATGCATTTGATAAAGTGATGTTTGTGGGAATGATACACTGTGTAGATGTTACAGAATCTTTAATGAGTAATAAGTATGGTGCTACATTAAAACAAAGCTGATAATTATAATACAGATATTCTTTGCTGACCCAGTACTGGATTCCAATGTTGCAATTTCAACTTACTTTGTATACTGTACACCGCTGTGATGGAGAGTTTGGCTCAATACCAAGGCTTATCAGGCTCTCTGGACAATAAAATATAAAATTGTAATTAAAATGCTGTTTATATCAGTTGTTTAACTGGTAGAATGTAACATATAGTAGTGATATATGAGACTAATAATATTAAAGTACATTATTGTTCGGTAACCTGGTTTACAATAAGGAATGTGTAACATCATGTCAACCTTACTTTATCTGATACACTTTGGAACATTTACAGCATGTGAAATGGGTTATGACATATAAAGTCTTGATTGTTTACAGAACACTGACAGCTTGTGAAACCGTTTACAACATATAAAGTCTTGATTGTTTACAGGATACTTGCAGTGTGTGAAATGGTTTATGGCATATAAGGTCTTGATTGTTTACGGGATATTTACAGTGTGTGAAATGGTTTAAACATATGAAGTCTTGATTGATTACAAAACATTTACAGCGTGTCAAATGGTTTAGGACATATAAAGTCTTGATTGTTTATGGGACATTTACAGTGTGTGAAATGGTTTATGACATATAAGGTCTTGATTGTTTATGGGATATTTACAGCGTGTGAAATGGTTTATGACATATAAAATCTTGATTGTTTATGGGACATTTACAGTGTGTGAAACACAAGCTAGTAAAGCATGAATATTTAATAGGTAACACCATCTTGGGCATCATATACTGTAAAAGTTTATGTATCAAACACTGGATGTTCTTCAAGGTTCTGCTGTTTGATTTGATAGTCTAAAGCAGATATGAATTATGTACCTTTAATTTGTGGAATGTATATACGAAAAGTGACATGAACGTTATGTGGGTGTTACAGCTCTGTAGTTAACTATTAAAGAGTCAGCCTTCTGTAGTTAATTATCAAAAAGTAAGTCCTTATTATTTAACTGCTAAGGACTCTGCCATCTTTAAGTTAACTATCAAAAAGTAAGCCCTCATTATTTAATTATTAAGGAATCAGCCATCTTGAAGTTAACTATCAAGGAGTTACCCCTCTTAAGTTAATTACCAAGGAGTTGGCCCTCTGTAGCTAACTATCAAAAAGTAAGCCCTCTGCAGTTAACTATCAATAATTCAGTCCTTTTTAATTAATTATTAAGGAGTCAGCCATCTTTGATTAACTATCAAGAATTCAGTCATTTTTTAATTAATTATTAAGGAGTCAGCCATCTTTGATTAACTATCAAGAATTTAGTCCTTTTTTAATTAATTATTAAGGAGTCAGCCATCTTTGATTAACTATCAAGAATTCAGTTCTTTTTAATTAATTATTAAGGAGTTAGCCATCTTTAACTAATTATTAAGGAGATGGCCCCCATTAATTAGCTATGAGAGTTTCAATATCTTTAATTAATTATCAAAGTTTTGCCTATCAAAATATTAGCCCACTTTAACTAGCTATCATATTTTCTGCCTCCTTTATAGTTAATACCAAAAAGCCAGCTCTCTTTAGTTGATTACTTAGTCAGCCCTCTTGTGTTCACTATCAGAAAGTCATTTCTCTCCAACTAACTATCAAAGAGCCATTCCTCTTCAGTTTAATATGTAACTGTAACTAATACAAATTCAGCCTTCTTTAATTAGCAATATTATTTATAGATGACATTTTTCTGATAATATCCACATGTATAACAGGCATACGGAGGGCTCCGTGGGGCTGTGGCATTTTCCCTGGTTATTATGTTGGACAAAAAAACTGTTCCAAACAAGTCCTTATTCATCACAGCTACACTTTTTATGGTCTTATTTACAGTTTTTATTCAGGTGAGTTTTGTATTTGTATGTATTTTTATTGAATATATCATCACCCTATAGTTACCACATTATAAAGTCAGTAAAATAAATCATTATTTTTATATATATTTTTCCCCTCAACAAATGTGAAAGTTAAACGTTTAGGAATGAAAAATTTACCAATAAGAAACCCAAACTTCGCCCCTATGAAATTTAAATTTTTATTTTATTTTCAAGTTACTCTTAATATTTTACGAGAATAAAAGAATCTAGTGACAATTACCTCATTCATTACTTTGGGAACTAATCAATCCGTATCTTGCGATTTTTTACGTATCCTTTTTATTATACTGGTAAGAATTTGAGGGGGGAGGACATAGAATTTGATCCCTTTATAAATATCAGTAATGTAGAGCACTGGTTTAATACGTCAGAGATCTTGGGATTCACTCATGACTAGGCTATGTTTTTATGTCGATAATTTCAATATCTTCATCATTACACGTTTCCCTCTATAGGGTAGTACTGTCAAACCTCTAGTTAATCTGTTGAAAATAAGAACCCAGAAGAAAGAAAATTACAGACTTTTTCAGGAAGTTAACACAAAGGTAAACTTTGGATTACCATACTCTTTTACCATATACATAAATATGACCTTATCTTAAGTTTATAAAAATTAAATAAGATAATTAACATCTAAATGATGTAATAATGATTAAGGAGTGGAAGAAATCTTGCTTTCCTGGTAAAGCAAACATTTTTCTTTAGTTTATCATCATATTATTTTTTAGTCTAAAGTTATCATGAATCTATCTGTAGTTAAGTAAGTTTACAATGGGGTAGTAAGTATGATATCACAAGCAATTTGTGCAGACAAATAGCTAAAATGAATCTTTCAGGTAATTGACAACATGATGGCTGGAATAGAGGAAGTAACAGGAAATCATAGTGAGAATTATTGGAAGGTAAAAGTTTCTAAATTATTACAAAAGTTTGATATGTAGTTCGTCATTTTCACCACAAAAAATGTGCAAGAAATGTTCTTTTTAATTATAAACATTAAGTGTAAGGATTAACAGTGTTATTTGTATTGATCTAAAAGTAAAAGTCAGAGAACCCACGAGTGAAAGCAAAGGAGAATATATTTTAATGCGTTAACTACACTATATTCAGTGCTGACAATGTCTTTCGTCCATTGCTAAGGTTCATTAGGCCTGCTAAGATATGACATATTAGTGGTCTAGGTGCTAGCATGTCTGCTAGTTTGTTTGTTTTCGGTAGAAATTCTTTCTGAGGATCTTCAGTGATACAAGTCCTTTCTTGATTAAACCAGTTTATTCTTCCTCAATACAAACTTTTAGTACACAGTAGTTCCACAATCAGTACGTTTCTCATCACTTTAAACTTAACAACTTTTATAATACAAGCTATAAATCACAGTGATTCACAATCTTGATAATTTTGCTCTCGAAGAGTGCAAAACACACACTTTACGGCTCACTAGCTTAAAACTAACAGAATTATAATTTACACGGAACTCAAAGTAACTCGCTCTTCATTCATTTCTACTGGCTTTCTCTGCCAGGCTTATATACTAACAAAGAGAGCATCTTGAACACACTCGGATTTCCCCAATCATTCGAGAAACTTATCACGCACACTACCAGCGCCAGCAGTATCACGTGACTTCCGCTGTCATAACAATATATATCACCAGTTTTCATGAACAACAACTGTTATGGCATGAATGAGATTAAGCAAATGAATTGTAATTATTACCAGTTTTATTTAAGTTATTTAATAATGAGGTTATTAGGTAAGAATTAATAATTATTTATTTTATTTAAACACTATTCATGTTTATTTATTTTTTATATAAATATTAAAACAAATTGCTATAGAATTAACTGTAATTTGTTTCAGTAGTTTGCCTCATGTTCACGTAACACCTTTATTCAAGTAATATCAGTTAATATTTCTTGTTTCAATATTCTTATATATGAAAATTGACGGTCATATAATGTATATACTATTTGTTAGTTAAATTCAAATTTCCTGAAGCAGCTTTTTAAATAAATTGGGAACCTATTATATAGATTTGGAATGGCTAAAGTGTCCAGAAACACTTTTCATCCAACATTTTAACCCAGCTGTTGAATGATACAAGTTAGGCATACAGAGAAATGTAACGTAGCCATTTAAAGTGACTGCTTTTGTAAACATAAATTTCCTCAAGAACGTCTTGAACCTGAAACATTATAGAAGTAATAAACTTATTTTTTTGAATTTTTGGTTGTTTTATTTTATGTAATAAATACATTACTTCTGTCAGTATTTAAAATTCTAAATTGGGAAGATTTTAAATTTCTTACAAAATTTATATTATGTAAAATTTTTTATTCAAAACTAGTCTGATCATTCTGATTCAACCTTTTGCTTTTGGTATGTCCAATCAAACTATCTGAAATAAATCAGTACTTGAATAAAAATATTAGCCAATATTTTTTAGAAAATCCTTTGTTACTACGATGATCGCTACTTCAAGAAATGGCTTCAACACACCAAAACTGATAATAGCTTGACTCGAGTGTACACAAAGACCGTTCTTGCGTAAGTACAAGTAGTACTGAATGATATGTGGTTAGTATTATTTTTTGTGACCAAATAACATGTTTCAACACTCAAGAGTTGTACACAGTACCAATTTGATATTCAAATGTTATGTATGATACAGATTTGGACTTCCGATTGAGGATTTTCTATATTTTATACATTGAGAAATACTGAAAGATCATTGCATTATACATCCAAACCATTTTATACTTGGCAATAACTTTATAGAGGATATAAATGGGAGACAAACTGAATGGTTAAGCTCTGAAAATTTTCATTGTATCATTTTTTAAGTGTTTACATAATTATAGAAATTAGACCAGTCGACAGTAGAGGGTTGTGATGTCTCAGAACAGAAGCTTTCTTATAATAAATAATAGCCAGATGGTGTCAGAATACCACATTGTGGCTAGATTGCTTAGAGTTATCCTGTAAGTTTTTCAAATAAAAGTCTAATGATTAAGTAAAATGTGAACATAATTACATAATAGGCATGATAAACAGATTGGACTCTCTATTTGGTTGCAGTGATAAACCATCAAAAGAATAGTTTTTTGTTTTTTTAAAGAAATAATTTAGTAAATACATAGTTTATCTGCATGTGATTTGCCTTTATCAAAGATGGAATTACAATTAAAATGATAAATTACTGAAAAGAAAACAAATAACTGCATTTGTGAACTTAAGTTTTTAAGAATTGTGTCTACAATTTTAATCTATTTGAACACTGATGTCTTTTCTGGTTTCCAGTGACCATTTTGCACACTTGTATGGACCTGCTACAGCTTTAGAGGATAAACAACCTCTCATGTTGAATCAGTAAGTTATTCTTTTAGATATTATATTGATATTGATCTTATATAGAACCATCACATCAAAACACCAGTCAACATGCTGATAGGAATCTCATACGGAACCAGCAAATCAATACATTGGTTATCATGCTGGTACCATTTAACGTATTAAATCAGTCAGTTGGTCTAATTGTTAATTGTTCTAACTCAGTTGTTTGGTCTTCTAGCACAGATTGGGGTGGGAGTATATCATTGACTTGGTAGTCCTGTTATACTACTGATACATTTCTTTAACTATTATTACCATTGGTAGAAGTTACTAAATATACCTTTAAAGCTTATCTTCTGTTATTAAACTGATCAAAAAAATGATAATAATATACCCTAGGAAAGTAAAAGCAATCTTTATTGTTGAGTTTACAAAGAATATTGTATTACACCTGTCTGATTCTGAGATTGTATTCAGTTTGTTACTGACAGAGATACAAACAAAAACAATTCATTAAGACACACGGTAGTGTCTCGTGCATCCAAAACAACCTGCTGTAGAATGCACTGTGTGTTATTAACAGGAGGAATAGTTGAGCAATTTTCCACCTTCTGTATCTCAGACTGTGGTAAACCAAACTATCACAGTGGATGTGCTCTGCTGGACTCCTACTTCCAATACCAAATTTCAAGGCAATACATTAGAAATACCTGATATATAATATCCCAATTTTGATTGAGTTTCTTCCTATCTTTTTTCTTTGCACCAAAAAAACGGAAAGTATTTGATAGAAAAACATACTTAACTTTTATGGGTTTTTTTTCAAATTTGATACACTGATAGATCTTTACAACTTACAATTATAGGAGTTTCATTTGATGTAAATATAAACCACATGTGCAAATTTATTCAATAAAAACTACTCATATTTGACAAAAAATTTTGTGCACACCTACACAAAAATTCGCATGTGCTATCTGTCTAAGAGTAAAAATGGTCCATTTTTAGTTTTTTGCCATTCAGATTAAAGATGGCTGATTTAGAGCAGCAAAACTATAATATGAAAGGATGTGCAGATACATAAGTATTGGTTAGACCAAGCAAACTAGATGAGCAGTTTCCAGCTCAAGTTTTCAAAACACTGATACGGATGGTGGTTGTTATTGATTGTTTATTGCCAACTTTTCAGCACAAATTTACTAAATTTTATGAAATTATCCTAATTAAAGAGTGCTTAGTGTTACATGATAGTAGCTTATGCAATTAGCATAAATAATGATGCTTGATATGGTTGTCCCGATTGCATGGTATGATGACAAGAAACTGTTAATCTAAATTCCATGGCGTTACTATAAAGCAAGCTATTAACACTGTTTTAGAATGGAAAAACTCCCACCATATATTTTAAAGAAGCTGGTTGGTTCTGTAAAGTAAAGGTCTGTTCCAAATAATGGGGTTGTGATCTTAAAGCTTTTGTGGGTTATTATGGAGTGTCACTTTCTTACTTGCTGTGCTTTGTTGGTGTGTATTGACAAGCAAATATTCATTCTTTAGTTAGCTAGGCCACGTATTTTGTTTTACCCACCATCATGCCCCAAGTTGAACAAAAAATGTGGCCTTGCTAACTAATGAATGAAATTTGTTATAAAGTTCTTATCAATGCTATAAGTGTAGCTACTAGTTTGGCCACCAGTTTTGACTTCATTTCCTTAAGTCACACACTAAATCATTTTTTGGCTACCCCCTTTTTTATCACAACTAAGGTGTTTATAATTAGATTTATATCTCAAACAAATACAGTTGTTCAGAAGAGTCACCTTTTTGCTTTATACAACAAAACATTTACAGGTTACCTGCTTTAAATTGTTTAAAACAGTCGTTTTACACTTAACAATAGAACTAAAAATAATACATTTATATATTAGTTGTTTTGTTTTTGTAACTTGGGTTACAATTATGTATTTATTTACCTTTCTTAAACTACAAATCGTACAGATTACATTGGTAGAAAGTTTTCTATGCTAAGAAAATTGTAAGTGTCGTAACATAACATTTACTTTACTTTCAGAGCAATAGATGAAGACATAACTGATGCAATGGATGATGGTATAATATACAAACAGAATGAAGATACAATATTGTTTTCAAAAAAGAAAGGTACTGTTGGGAAGTGAAAGTTTGTTTTTTGTGCGTGTACGTGAAAGATAAAACAATTTCCTGAAATGGATAACATACGCCTAAGATCTAAATATTAATATGATTTTTTTTATATATATAGCTATTTGTTTGTTTGAGAGCTTCATACTAAGCTAACACATAGGGGCTATCTTCAGTTTTAAACTGAAAGACTAGAGAGAACATAGCAAGTCAATAGAATCTATCCCTAACTCTTGGGCTATGTTAGTTGAGTATTGTGATTTGACTATAACTTTTAGAACACATTGCCTCAGAGTAGGGATCATGATATCATGCCAATAGGATTCGAACATTGGACCCTCAGATTCACAGGAATACTGACAAAATACCAATTTGATATGTATTGTATAATTTGTGGTTGAGTTCATAGAAAGACAGTTCTTTAATGCAGAAAGGAACATTGAGTTGAACTTAAAGACATAAAAACAACCAAACACTCCAAATAAATTATTATTCTTAGAAGAGTGCTTTTGTTTCTAGTATTAGTTAGCAGATATGTGAACTGTATTGACAACTCTAGTCTGTTCTAGGCACTCTCTTTTTTTGTATATAAGTCCGACAAATAATGCGGAGATATGATGGCAGATAGATAAATAGATATAGAGACAGATAATTGAGTCAAGCGAGCGGTAGTGACGGTAATATAAAGTGTGTTTTGTTATCGAGATTGCAAACGTATTGACTGTGGAAATTCTGTGTATTGCAAAGTTGTATCAAGAAAGAATAAACTAGTTTTAATGAAGAAAGGACTTGTATCGCTGAAGTTTCTTGGGAAGAATTTCTACGGGAAATTAACAAACAAGCAGATACACAACAAATTGGTGTCAGAGAGTGGGAAGGAAAAAAAATGGAAACCAGAGGTGGCAAATCAAACTACAACTTAGCAGATTTGATGGCAGCAATACAAGAACAGCAAAAGAAACAAGAAGAACGATAAAATAAACAAGAAGAGAGGCTACAGCAGTTGTTGGAGGAGAAAGAAAATAAACAAGAAGAGAGACAACAGCAGTGGTTGGAGGAGAAGGAAATAAAACAAGAAGAGAGACAATAGCAGTGGCAAGAAAACCTGCAACAGTGGCAGCTCGAACAGAAAAATAAGCAAGAGAGATTACAGCAGTTCTTGGAGGAAAAAGAAAATAAACAAGAAGAGAGACTACAGCAGTGGTTGGAGGAGAAAGAAAACGAACAAAAAGAGAGATTACAGCAGTGGTTGGAGGAGAAAGAAAATAAACAAGAAGAAAGTCTCCAACAGTTGAGAGAAAGCCAACATACACAAATGGAAAACATTAGTAAATTTCAAAGTGAATTAAATAGATTAAAGGATGATTTACTGTATTTTACACAAGGAGGATATATTAGCCATCGACCTAATCAGTTTCAGACAACAGGAAGCCCCTTCCAGACCCCGCAGCTAAACCCTAATGCAGACATCTTCAGTCCTGTCAGAAGTCACATTCTAAACATGAGTGTCAGCAATAGGGGTGATCTAATACGAAGGAAGCCACAGGAATTCGATGCGAAGGCACCATGGGAAGCATATAGAGCACAATTTGAGCTCCTGGCAGAAATGAATGGATGGACAGAGGAGCAGAAAGCAGTGTATCTGGCAATGAGCTTGAAGGGACAACCACTGGCAATACTTGGACAGTTGTCAGCAGATAACAGACACAACTATAGAGCACTGGTAGCTGCTCTAGAACTCAGGTATGGAACTCAAAATCAGTCCGAAGTCTATAGGGGTAGGTTTAGGACTAGAGTCTGTGCTAAAGGGAAGAGCCTGCAAGAACTGGCACAGGACTTGGAGAGCATGGCACACAAGGCCTACCCAACTGCACCACCCGATCTCCTCAAGCTGTTGCTGAGGGATCAGTTTGTAGATGCCTTGGGCAGTCCACAACTGAAGATACAAGTAAAGCAAGCACACCCATCTACAATGCAGGATGCAATGGCCAGAACTCTTGAATTCGAATCCTATGTTAAGTCCAGCACAGAAGTACCAAGGTTGGTACAGTCATCAGGATTTAAGGCCACAAAATGGCAGCTTTCAGAGAGGCTTGAGGGACTTTGCTGGCACTGTAACAAACCTGGGCACAAGAGAGCTCGCCCCCCAGTAGCACAGCGGTATGTCTGCGGACTTACAACGCTAAAATCCGGGTTTCGATACCCGTGGTGGGCAGAGCACAGATAGCCCATTGTGTAGCTTTGTGCTTAACTTAAAAAACAAACAAACAAGAGAGCTCAATGCTGGCAACTTCAACACAGGGAAGATGTCACGGCAGGAAAGGCTGCTACCCAGAAAGGTTGTTGGAACTGTGGAGAGCAAGGACATCTGAGGAGCCAGTGTAAGAAAAATACCACCAATAAGTCAGCTTCGGGAAGCCATTAGTGGTTGGTGCTAAGGGATGCCCACCAACCTCCATCGTGAAATTCACAACAGCTAGGTGTAAAATGCCAAGCACACATAGTGTCTACGTGACAGGAAAGCTGGATGGCCAAAAGTGCAACTTTGTCATAGATTCTGCAACTCAATAAACCCCTGTGAGTATCAAGGTGCTGGATAACAAAGGAGTACCAGGAGCCATACAAGCTATACAGAAGCTCTGTGGTGTGACAAGACATTATACAA